AGGGACCCAACTTTCTGGAAGAATAACATTCTCCTTTGAGGGACCCAGCCTTTTGGAAGAATGATATTCTCCTCTGAGTGACCCAACTTTCTGGAAGAATAACATTCTCCTTTGAGGGACCCAACTTTCTGGAAGAATAACATTCTCCTTTGAGGGACCCAACTTTCTGGAAGAATGACATTCTCCTTTGAGGGACCCAACCTTCTGGAAAATGACATTCTCCTTTGAGGGACCCAACTTTCTGGAAGAATAACATTCTCATTTGAGTGACCCAACTTTCTGGAAGAATAACATTCTCCTTTGAGGGACACAACTTTCTGGAAGAATGACATTCTCCTTTGAGTGACCCAACTTTCTGGAAAATGACATTCTCCTTTGAGGGACCCAACTTTCTGGAAGAATAACATTCTCCTTTGAAGGACCCAACCTTCTGGAAAAATGACATTCTCCTTTGAGTGACCCAACTTTCTGGAAGAATAACATTCTCCTTTGAGTGACCCAACTTTCTTGAAGAATAACATTCTCCTTTGAGGGACACAACTTTCTGGAAGAATAACATTCTCCTTTGAGTGACCCAACTTTCTGGAAGAATGACATTCTCCTTTGAGGGACCCAACTTTCTGGAAGAATAACATTCTCCTTTGAGGGACCCAACTTTCTGGTAGAATAACATTCTCCTTTGAGAGACCCATCTTTCTGGAAGAATAACATTCTCCTTTGAGGGACCCAACTTTCTGGAAGAATGACATTCTCCTTTGAGGGACCCAACTTTCTCGAAGAATAACATTCTCCTTTGAGGGACCCAACTTTCTGGAAGAATAACATTCTCCTTTGAGGGACCCAACTTTCTGAAAGAATGACATTCTCCTTAGAGGGACCCAACTTTCTGGAAGAATAACATTCTCCTTTGAGGGACCAAACTTTCTGAAAGAATGACCGTCTCCTTTGAGGGACCAAACTTTCTGGAAGAATGACCTTCTCCTTTGAGGGACCAAATTTTTTGGAAGAATAACCTTCTCCATTGAGGAACAAAACTTTCTGAAAGAATGACATTCTCCTTTGAGGGACCAAGCTTTCTGGAAGGATGACCTTCTCCTTTGAGGGACCAAGCTTTCTGGAAGAATGGCCTTCTCCTTTGAGGGACCAAACTTTCTGGAAGAATAACATTCTCCTTTGAGGGACTCAACTTTCTGGAAGAATGACAGTCTCCTTTCAGGGACCAAACGTTCTGGAAGATGACCTTCAATTGTATTAACATTTGTATCAATGTTCAAATATGCCCGATTAATTATGGTCAAATCCACGAAGAAAATGTCGGATACGAAACTGGTTGGTGTGGCTTCTTAGAAGATAAAAAAAACTGATTAATTAACTGCCCAGCCGTATTCCTAAACCTTTCTGCTCTTTTTAAATAATAAGCTAAACATCTTTTGGGATCAAACTTTTTTTGTCAGGAAAACTTGGTATCAATATTAAAGTAGGCTTGTGATTTTGATGACCCTGTATTGACAAACCTGGTGTGATAAAAGTTACATCTTTCCCTGCACTATAACAAGACATTCACGCAATATAAGAGCATGCAGATCACTTCAACGTCAGAATGATGTAACAACTATCTGGAAACACGTTTTCCATATGTCAAAAACTTCAAAGACGCTTTGCTTTGCGGAGGAGTTCATATGATACTTTCCCTAGCGAACTGAAATAAAAAAGATCTATTCAGGTGCAAGTTTTTTAACTGCTGATCTTTCATTAAATACACTTCCATGTAAAGGATAACATAAGTATATCGTCCAATTATCTATACACTGAAATTGTTTTATATGCAGTACCTTGATGCCACATGTATAAAAGAAAATTTACATAGTCTTTCCTGCCTATGGTTTAATTAGGTTGCTCGCAGCACCAATTACAGGGCAATTTGAATTAGGACATATAATTGTATTTTTTATATAGGTTTTTCTGAAAATCCCTTTGTTTCGAAGCATCGCATATGAGCCATGCAGTCAGATTGAGAGTTCAAAGGTCTGAATGAAATATCCTGCACTTTGCATAAGAAACTAAATCTAACTGCTCATGGCAGACGAAGAAGGCATGTTATTAGAAACTGTTAAAGTACCGGAACCAATATTTTTTGGTGCTATTGGGAAATGAGTTGTAAGTGGCCTGAACACTACGTAAAATCTGAATTTGAGGGAACGCATAGTCAAGTATGTTCTGTCATGCACTTGACAGGGTATCAGTGGCAAAAGATTAAAGGTGAGAAATCCATCAGCAAATCAGTTGTGTTTTCCTGGTTTCGTATGTTGCTTGCAAATCTATCAGGGGATTACCCAAAGATTGGATATTGATGTCAAAACTGTTTTGCTCAGAGACAATTCAGTATTTCTCACTGATGCCCTGCTAAAAAGATCTGAGTAAGTGTTTGCTTTACCTGAAATATTGAATGCCCTCAAAGATAGTTTTTACTCAAGGCAAACATCCATGAATTCATAGTCATGTGACAAAGTGTCAATGACTTTGTACCCCTATGGCGATAAATATATCATACATACGTGCTCGAGTCTGTTTCAATCAAACCTGACTTGTTCTTTATGTGAGACAGTGAGCGCCTGACTGAATAAGATATTGCCTCCATCTCCAGAAACTTGATATGATTGCGACATTCCGTCTGTGACCAACAGCCTTTCACTGTAAGGTTGTTTACATGACACCCTGCCCCATGCTTTGCTTGCATCTATGGTCAGTACGACTCAGTAGAATATTTGAATCACTGTATTGGAAATAACAACTCTTCAAAATGTCTTCCTCCTGTAGCCATCAGTGCATATAACAAATTAAAGAAGGTATACACGGGTTATGTGCAGAAGAGAATTATTCTGGCGTCACGTTTTGCAAAAAAAAAAAAAAGAAGCTGAATAGGCCTCATAAATCAGAATCAGATCTTTATATGAAGCGCGCTATCATTCCCTACAGAACAAGAAAATGTCCAAACGTCCATGTAAGTTCCAAGACGAATAGTTTGTTTGCGCAGATGAGAATCCCTTACAACAATTGCTTTGCAAAAACCTTTAGGTGCCACAGTCGTTCAAAGTACAGTGCTCTAAACTGATACACAACTGATTGGAAACAGCAACGAAGAAAATGACGATGGTCTGTGTGAAATCTAATATAAACTAGGTATACATCATCAAATTTTCAAGTTGGTATGCTCTCTTTGGTAAGCTCTCTTAAGTAATTTAAATTTTTGTCTTAATCCAAAAAAGTCTGAACATGCATATCCCTGTTACTATCCGAATCTGAGTCGGCACCAATATAACTGTACTTATATTAAGATAAATGGTTCTCTTGTAACCTCAAGAAAGTTGCTTAATGTGAAATGATGTGTCACAATAGTGGCAACAATGTAAGCAAAGAAGTATTTTTACTTCCTTGATTGATTGATTGATTGATTTTCTTTAGACTGGGCGGTCAAGGATAACCTACGAAAGTGCAAGCACTTATTTCCAGTAGGGTCCTTACCTCACCAGACTCTAGAGACAGCTTTGAGATACAAGGGAGTTCGGAAAGCAGTCCCTATCTCTTACTGAAAAGACCCCTTGGTTCTTTTACATGCCCAGTGTATAGTACTGATACATGCAAGGATTACCTGGGTTTCTTACCAGTAAACCTCTAGGTAGGTTGGAAACACTGAAAATGTCTCTGAAAAATCCCAAGGTAGTTACCCAGGATCGAACCCCGAACCCCAGTGAGTGACGGTCAGTGGTCTAACCAACTGAGCTATCGCGCCACCCCTTACAAAATCCTTACAAAATACACATCACTGTACCAATTGCCAAAAAGCAACAGATAAAAAGATGGTTCAGGTAATTGATTAATGAGTACATGTAACTGTTTGAAAACTATAAAAGTGCATCAAAAATAAAACTGCTTTTGAGAAATAAAAGTAAAATAATTTGTGATCCATAATGGGCCTTTAGTTTCCCACGTGTTTCAATGTCATTAATGGTTTAATGTCTAGGAAAAGACTTACCCTGTATTTTTGATTTTGTTCTCATCCCCAACCCCACCTCCCAATTTTTCTCTCTCCTTTATAAAAAAGAACCTAATGCTTCAAAATAAATAACACCATTTGAAGTTACATTGTATCTGACCCTAATTAACGACAAAAATAGCATTTAAATCTACCAGGAGTCCGCTACAATGGCGGTTACGGATTTTAAATCACTTAAAATACATTGTTTATAGTCAATAATATGTACATTTTATAAGGCCATATCGACAGTTTGTTTACACCTAGTTTATTCACCTTTAAACTTTAATTGTTTGAAAATTTGAAGAAAAGACATTGCAGCACTCAGCAGTACTTCATCATTACAATTTTAACAATTATTTAATTAGGTAATACTTTCCAAATTTAAGCAGAATTAAAAAAAAAATAATATCTAGATGCGTCTCTTACGAACGTCCTGGTCAGTGATGTATAAAAATCAATGTCAGAGGTATCCAAGCGTAGATCAAATATTGATTGCCTTTATTGTTAATACCTTTGAAGCACACCCATGAATGTGCGCCGAGGTTAAGCAAATGTTTTATACATTAAATCAATACAGATTTCCACCACAACTTGTTATAATGATGCGATGTGGTAGATAGATATTAAGTTTGTCTTTATTTGGATACATGCATATTTTAAAATAAGGGCTTAAATATAGGTGGCTATCAACTTTGTTAGTTTTACAATGGTGCCCGTTTGTGCTTAAAATAATGTACAGAGGGGCACCCGAGGTCTTCCTCTACCAATCAAGCTAGAGTCGCCGTATGACAGATGATGTGTTTGTTTTACGTACCCACCCTGTCCTAAAAAGTGATAAAAAAACCAACAAAAAAAACCATAAAAAATAAATAAAAAACATAAAATTAAAATTCAAAAAATAAATATTTTCCGACCATAATCTCTTCATCTTGTCACAGATTAACAGGAGTGAGAAAACGGACTTGGTAACAGGAAGCTAAACATGTAAACATACTAGTGTTTTTAAACAAAAAGCAATATTTTGAAATTTATTATCAGACATGGATACAAGTTCACAACAATCTGCTTCATCGTGTGATAATAGTACGTCAAACAAGGAAAAATCTTCCGACATTAAAACAACCAATGATAAATCAAATGTCGATTTTAGTGAACGAACTGGGGAGGAAGACTTCACTCTGATTGTCGAAGGCGAGAAGCTGTTCGTGTCTAAGGCTGTTTTGGCACTTGCCTCTCCTGTGTTTGATCGGATGTTTCAGTCAGACTTTAGAGAAAAAGATCAATCAGAGTTGACTCTTCCAGGAAAAAATGTTTCAGAGGTGCAAGAATTTCTTAGGTTTATCTATCCAGGTGTAAGCGAATGTATATCTGATGAGAACGTGTACAAATTGTTACCTCTGGCCGAAGAATATCAGGTGACTTCTCTGAAAGCCAAATGCGAGAGATTCCTTATAAGTAGACTTAACAAAGAACTTCCAGCAGACGACACGAAGATGATGTTGCAGACAGCTGCGATTTATAATATGGAAGATTTAATCAATAAGTTTTGTGAGGAGTTGCCAGAACAGTCTGCAAGGGATGTTATTTCGGAAGAAATTCCCCTACCTACGATGGCCATTATTAATATTCTTGGTAAAGTAATGGGACGTCTAGAACGTATAAGAGAGAAGAACACGTGGCTTGAAGGAATATACAAATATACTACATCTGGACATTCTCGTGAAGTGCAGCAAATCATCGAGCGAAATTTAAGGGTATATAAGGATTGGAAATGTCAATCATTATATTTACGATTGAACTGTGACGATTTAATGAAGGAACATGTGCCACAGACAAAACAGTTCAAGTTTTTAGACATTAACGCAAATTTAACGATGTCCCTCTATAAAAGAGGAGACGGGTACTACGGGGATGATCAATCTATAATTATTGATATCTTGTTCGACGAAGACACAATAAAGCAGTCAAAAGTAAAATTACACGGGCGATTTGTTATTAGAAATATGATTGATGCAGTTAATACCTATAAATCTACATTTCAGATGGAATTTCAACCATCTATATTAAAACAATCAGCCGAGATGAAAAATAGCCATGTTGTCTTTGATGTTAGAGCTGGATATTTGTACTATGGTGTTACGGATGCAGAAGTCCACCTATTAGCTAAGAGAGAGGAGGTGAAGCAGACGATATCTTCTAACTAAAATGAGCATTGGTCATCAATTGTCATTTGGCGTACTTAAAAATATAATTCATGTATACATTTTGACAAAACAACACTTAAGATGTTAATTGAGGACAATTAAGCGACAATAAATACTATTGTAATAAGACGTTTACAAATTATCGAACATTTTCCTAAAACATTTCATAAACATTTTTCCTAAACTCTTCATGATTCATTTTATGTGTAATGCTCTGGGGAGCCAGATGATTTATACCATACAATGACCGACCAAGGGTTGTCAACTTGGTTCAAAACTTCATAAACGTCTATTTCTCCATTTCACTAATATTCCTCATAGCAAGGATTAGAATAAAAGATATTCTTATATTGTTAAAACCATGTAATTGAAGGTCAATACTACTTTTGTTTTATTTCTAATTTTGATATTTTCCGTTATGAAAATTATTTCAATTTGACTAAAATGTAGCTTTATTGTAGAATTAGTTGTTCTTTTCTATCCTACTAACTTTCTTCATACTGACTTTGTTGTATTAGTAAATGCAATATATAAACTATAATACAAAAATATGTGTTAATATGTATTTATTGTTTTATATTGTTTCATTGTGTCAAATTGCTTTGCAATGCTGTTTCCAATCGCCAGACTCATTTACGCCACGCGACCGTTAAATTATCCACAATCATATTTAAACCACTTGTTTTTATCTCCCTTCCAAGACGAAGAGTTTTAGATTTGGCATTATTCTTCCGACTGTCCGTCCGTCTGACTCGAAATTTGTCCGTCAACAGATTGAATGAAGTATAAAACCGCAACTGTTTTAGTTTGGAACCCAAATTTTCATATGTGCAAAAGATTGAGTTATTACCCTTTGCAAATTTTCATATTTGTATTGGGCATAATTAAATATATAGCATGTATTTACTTTATATTTTAAAGATTGATATATCATAAAGTGCAGTCTATTACATGTAGAACCATTTTCCTCTTCTGCATAAGTTTAGAGCTATTTCTTTCTTTTATTTTGTTTCATACTTATTTTAGTCATGAGTATAACTCATTAAATACTGGAGATGTCAATTTGAAACTTCACAGCTGTGTTTAATTTCATTATTTTGTTCCACAGTAAAGGTTCACAGTCCTGATAAGGTTTGTCAAAGAGATAACTAGCAACTTCGTCACATTCCTCGTCGTCGTTTTTAGATTTGCAGAATTTCAATTACGACGTTTCGAAGTTTGAATGTGCTGCGAAACGTAATGGGAATACATCAATACATTCATCCAACTTTTCGTGCGTAGCCTTGCGTTGTTCATCTGTGAGGAAAGGTTAACGTTTCTATTGAGGGTCTAATAAGGATGCTAACATAGGTCATGATTTGGCAGTCTCTATTGATTCATGATGATGACGTGTATTGATTTCAAAGCGAAAAACACTTTTAACTGTTACAATTACACTTTGATTAGCACTTGTTTTCAAACGTCCATTCAGTAAACCGAACACAACTGGATATATCTTAGAACAAGAGACGTGTAATTCTGTAGACTAATCCTTGAGAACTACACACGATCCACTAGGCAAATCCTACTCGTTGTTATCAAAATTGAGTCTTGGGACGACGTTACATGGGTGTCCAATATGACGTCATTAATTGAGAGAAATTGTCTGCATTAAAGCTCTAACACTAAATATATTCAGTTTCAATTGGTGCTGACATCAGATATCAACTTGTGTTGCGGTATTCAGTATTTCCTTACGTCGTTTTTCAAGTTCTGCCGTATGGGTGGTGGAATGTTTGAAATGTCAAACAAATTTTCGAGTCTTAGCAACCATTTTTGATAAACTCTGTTGTTCTAGATCAGGTTAAGTACACAGCTGAAGGGTGTGCAAAAACATCCCAAGTCACTCCATGGACACTTGCATTCTGCACAATTGATATAAGCTGCGTTATCATGGAATCAGCACTCAACCTTCCCCTTCCAAATCATACTCAGAAACACTCTCAGACAGCCTTTCTGCGATTTGTTTGTGTGTGATTTTCGGGCATGTCACGCGTCAAGAGAACTCTACTTCTTAAATTTCAGTCATTGTCAATATGGTGTCCTTTCACAGTAATATAACACTGTGCTATTACTAATCCAGCTATCTGTTGTTAAGGAGACAAGTAGCAGATGAAAACAAAACACATGTAAATAAGTCCCTCTCAGAAACGTGAATGTGAAACTATTACAAGCGAACTACTATAGTAGTTAGGTACATTTATAAGTATAGATTTATGGTTGTATGGCTGTCTTACAGGATTCTGCTAGAGAAAATTTGGGTCAGCACCTGCCTCGACAATAATATCGGACCAGACATGTGTATTTACATAGTTTTTAT